AAGAGATAACCTGGCGTCAGAGCTGGAGATGCAGGGGATGGCCTGTTTGCAACTTGACAGTGCACGCTACACAGAGCAGATTGACAATTGTCTGTCAGAGTTTGACAAACGCTTTCAAGACTTTTCTTTGCTCGAGCCAGTCGCTACCTTCATGTGCTATCCTTTTCGGGAAGATGCTGAGGTCGATTCACTCGCATCAAAAATTGCAAAACTATTTCACCTGAACTCTTCTGGAGTGGAAGATGAGATTTTGACACTACAAGCCGACATTGAGCTGAAGTCCAGAGATCATGGACAGTTCTGGAACTTACTCACAGAAGTAAAGTACCCCAACATGAGGAAATGTGCTGCCTCTTTGACTGCATTATTCGGCTCCACTTATTTATGTGAGTCATCATTTTCCCACATGAAGATCATTAAGTCCAAGTACCGTTCCACCATGACTGATGAACATTTGGAAGTGTGTTTGAGGCTGGCCGTCAGCAGCTACTGTCCGGACTATGCATCCCTGGCTGATTCAATTCAGTGCAAGTCATCAGAGTAAACTCAGGTAATGACAAAAAATTTACATTGTTAATTGTGTTGTGAAATATTGGATATTGCGGTTATGCATGTATATACATTGTAGATATAAAGAATCCTCAATATATTTATAAATAAGTATATGTTTTGGATTTTTGTAGTGGGTAGATCATTTTGACTTGGTCATTTTATAAGTAGCTCACATGCGGAAAAAGTGTGAGCACCCCTGCTGTAAACAGACCAAACTTCAGTCAGGAGAACAACTGAGATAATCCATCCACAATACGAGGTTAGTCATTCATATACTGCTGCAGGGCTGGAGTTACATCGTAAGGGTTTAAAAACTGAGCTTTAAAATGAACAGTGGTGGTAAAAACCGAGAGGCCGACAGCGATCACTGACTGTTTTTAGGGGCTTGTTCAGATTAAATAGAACAAAATACAAAACATGTTTAAAAACATGAGTACGTGATGACTTAACAACTGCATCTGTGCTTCTGACCTTTGACCTGCACTCTTAAAAAACACAAACTTTTAGATCTGTTGTCTAAAGAATTCAGAACTGAAAAGCAGCACATGCGCAGTTGGATTTAATATTTACCTGTCATAAAGGTGCACCGTTTGATGCGTCACAATAAGTTATCTGTGATTTCCATGCTGGACTAAAGGATTTCGTGGTCGGTCAGTCTGAGAGTGGTGCTTCAGAAATATGGAGCTTTATAAATGTGTCCTTCTTTTCTTACAAACCGCTGCCGCAGGATTTATGTAAATATTCCCACAAAATTAAACAGAGGACTAAAGAATTTCAGTGTCTTGTGCTATCAACAGGAAGCGTTTGAATTCATTATAATCAAATGAAGACAGATATCAGGTTTCATGATCCAGACTCATAGTTTAGATTGTGAAATAAATCTAAGTCCACATTTCTGCAGGCTGGTTACAGACCGAGGGTCTGATATAGAAACCCTTCAGCTAAATACGGAGAACCTTCCAGAACTGTGTCTGTGAAGGTTCTGGATTATAAATGGCAGACAGTTGGTGTCATAAGCCACCGCCTCTGTTCTCCAACCCTCTGTGAACAGAGACACCGGTTTTCACACCTCGGCTCATGTGATTAGGTAGAGGAGCAACGGGGGTCCATGACCCTCTGGGGGGACACTTAGGGCTTAAATCTGGGACTTTCCACCATTTGACCATAGAACTGAAGAAGCTTCTCGGATGAGAGGTGAAACGTCTTCAAGCAACAAGTCCAGACACATTTCTTTCCAAGTTGCTTAGCCTTCCAGAACTGTGTGTGCACTACGGCTGCCACAAACGATTATTTTGATAGTCGACTAATCAGATCATCATCCATTGGACGTAAAACGTACAGCTTATTGCACCAGCAGCATCTGCTCTTATATAACTATCATTAGCTTACAGCTTTAAGTGTTTAAGTGTGCTAACTAAAAATAAAGACAAGATGATAGTTTATTAAATTTTAATGACATTTGCAGATTGTTTCGGTGAAGTTTAATAAACTCCTTGCTATCTAAAATATAACAGGACACCGGAGTAAATTCTCCAGCATCTCACACTTCTGATAATCAGCTGTCTGCTTGACGTTTATTCAGCTGTGTAAAAACTATAACTTTAATCTCAGCCAAACCGATTTACTCAGGAACAAATAAAATACTAAAAAAGCCAAACAATAACATTTTTAAGTTATCTAAGTGACTCATATATGTTTAACCTGAGTAGCGAAAGACGGCGGTGGGTTTGAAAACGATTTGCCGGGAGTCCGGTGTTCTCACGGGCTCTAGTGAGCCTAGCCCCCGGCTAGCTATCGAGCTAGTGGGTAACAGACGTCTCCGAAAATGTCGGAGCGCTTTTGAAAATATGTGGTGTCTTGATAAACTGAGCAGATATTTGAGGTTTACACAGCTACATTCTCGCCTGAAAATATGTTAAATGTTTATTTTGTGACCCAGAAAGAATAATAAGAGTAATATTAAAACTAACTAGCTGCCGCCATTGTTGGAAACTGAGCTGGGCTGCGCTATGAATTCTGGGACAGAGCTTCTTCTTCTTCGGGGTTTAACGGCAGCTGGCATCCTTGTACATGCAGTGCTGCCATCTTCTGTTTCAGTCTGTTATTACACTCTTAAATCCTGCTACTTATTCCTGCGTCTTTTGGGATCTTACAAAGCTTCAAACGACGCGTCGACTATTAAATCAGTCGTCGACGATTTTGATAGTCGACTAATCGTGACTAGTCGTGGCAGCCCTAGTATGCACGCTGTCCTCAACAGCCATACTGAAACTGTCACAGTTCCAACGTCAGTAGGAAACACAGCCAGATAAACTTTTCAGGACAAACGAGACACAAAAGGAATTTTACTGGAAAGCAAAGATTGTTTCAGGACCTACAAGTTTAAAAGATTAAACCAGCAGCTCCAGGGAAGGTGACACAGATGCCTGTGAGAAGAACACCACTAAACCACTTCATACTGGGAGCTGAGGGATCAGGAGCTCATACCCAGGAAAATATGATTTTAACCCCATCCTGCAACAACACAAGTTACAGTGAAGAAAAGAAAACTTTGCATTTTCATCTCATGTTCCAATCACAACTTAGATGTGACAAAATAGGTTTTAAGATCAGGTGTAGAGGTCAGTTTGTTTTATAAATGATTTAGATCATTTCATTACAGATCATGAAACTAAAATAGACTTTGTTTAAGAGAGTGAAGAAGAAACACCCAGTGCATCATGGGAATCCCCGGCAGCCTACGTCTATTGCAGCATAACTAAGGGAGGATTCAGGGTCACCTGGTCCAGCCCTAACTATATGCTTTAGCAAAGAGGAAAGTTTGAAGCCTGATATTGAAAGTAGAGATAGTGTCTGTCTCCTGAATCCAAACTGGTTCCACAGAAGAGGGGCCTGAAAACTGAAGGCTCTGCCTCCATCTTAAAGGAATGAGAGAACAACTCTTTTACTCAGTGTGATTGTTTTTAATGTCGCTCTTAAGGATCTGTTATTGTTTATTTTTCAGATGTTTGTATGAAATATTGTATTTGTTTTAAATGTTATGTGTTTATGTGGTACGTGTATATTTGACGTGATGCCAGGTGTTGTAAAGACTCACCTTTCAGCACATGCACCTTGTTTCTTTTCCTCACCTTTGATTGGGTGTGGTGTTTGCCCTTGATTGCACTCACCGCACTCTTCGCTCACACATGGGGCAGCAGCTGAGGTGAGTTTCTGTTGGAGTCTCCTGAGTTCATGTGTTATTTTGAGTTATTGAGTGACTAAATCACACTTTATTTCCTTTCAGCGTTAGCACTCCATGTGTGTCTTTGCTTACTGATTCTGAGAATAAAAGGAGAACCCTATAAAGGATTGATGACTGCTTATTCTCATTCTAATCAGATGAGCCCGTGATGGCAACGACTTAAAACTCTGAGCCTTTCTTCCTTCATAACACCAGGACTCTGTTGGAAATTAGATTTTTTTACCTGGATAAATAAACGACTAAAAAAACCTTCCTGTGCTGCTGAAGTTCTGCATTTCTGTGTTTTCAGCGAGGATGTGGTTAAAAGTGTTTGTTTTTTTGTCAGTAGCCTGTAAAAAAACATGTATGTGATGTAACAGCTGACCTTTAGTCTGAGAGCCGGACCAAAAGAACAGCCCAGCAGAACAAAACATCATCGAGATGCACAAAATAAATAAAGGAGGGTTCAAATGATTCATAAATGCAGCTGAAGTGTGCGTCCACGCAGTGACTGATGGGAAAACAAGTTCAACTGGAGCGCCTCCTGCTGGCCTCAACAGTCCGTGTACAGGTAGCATTGGGGCCTCAGGGTGGCGCTACAGGGCTTTGAAATGAGGCCTGGCTGAGGAGTCGTCTTTGTATTCGAGCCATATGAACAGCTGAGCCCCCTCCTCATTACATATTATATCAGCGGTCCCCAACCCCCGGGCCTCGGACCGGTACCGGTCCGTGAGTCGTTTGGTACCGGGCCGCGAGAGTTGAGGCTCAGGTGTGAAATGTCTGGTTTTCAGGGTTTTTATCGGTTTTCAGCGTTATTTTGTTATCGTTTTTATCGTTTACTCGGTTTTCCTGGGTCTTTTTACGTGTGTTATGAATAAATCTTCTTTTTTTCGGTACCGGTACAAGTTTTATTTTGTTGTGTTTATCCGCGACACCTTAAAGGCCGGTCCGTGAAAATATTGTCGGGCATAAACCGGTCCGTGGCGCAAAAAAGGTTGGAGACCTCTGTATTATATAATGCTTGATATTCTGCTGTGTCAGCTGTTGTTGGATGATCAGACTGTGGTTTGTTGTGCTCTGCTGAGCGTAAAGAGTAGATTAGATGAAAGTTTATTAATCCCTCAGGTGGGTGGAAATGTAGTTTCCAGCAGCACAGCACCGACAGAAGTTGCATGTTACAGATGCAATAAAGGGGAATGAGAGTAAGGATTTAAGCATAAATATACCATATATACATATAACACATATATAAATGCAGAATATATAATATGGATAAATGGGAATACCAGTGGATTCCACATTTGAGTGAGTCGCAGTGAAAAGGCACTACAGCTCAGTTGTTCCCGCCCTGTATCCCCTCGCTTTCCCCTCCAGAGAGGAGTTCAACAGTTTGATGATGTGGGACAAAGGAGTTTTTCAACCACCAACTGGTCAAACATCCTCAGGAGCTTCCTGCAGATGTTAAAAGACCTCAGCCTCTGTTGGAGGTTGAAGACTCGTAGCGGCTCTCCAAGTTCAGCAGCACACGCCTTTAGCATCCTAGGACACACCACGCGAAAAATAAAAACTCATATTCTCTTGAGTGAATACTATTAGTCAACATTTTAAACATGATTAGCAAGTAATGATACTAAGACTTATGTGTTTCTTTTGTTTTACCATTTCAATCATGCTGCGGTCAGCGTCAGCATCTAACATGGAGCAAACAGCGCAGTAGTCCTCAGCGTTCCCTGAAACACAGTCATAGGTTTTAATCGAACATTATTTATTGAATAATTAAAAAATAACACTTCATGGAAAATTAGGCTCCTGAATTTTTTAGACTTTGAGAAGGGTCTTATCTGAAAGTGTTTGAAGAGCACTATTTAAATTGGAAGTGTGCACTCTAACGTGATAAGGACTTTACTGAACTTACCTCCATTTTCAAGTAGGGTGCACTGTTAAAAAAAACCGGTAATATTCCGGCAGCCGGGGCGCCAAAATACAACCGTAAAATAACAGAAAATACCTCCCGCATAAAAATACGGTTAGTGATGTTATTTTACCTTTGACATGTAAAATCAGTCTACTTATGTACATTTAATGATATTTTAGAACGACAGTACAAAACTGTAAAATATACAATCAGAATACTTTACTCAGTGTGAACGCACTGTGTTTTCCCTCTAACAGCCTCCACATGTTCTCACTCTACTTTCCCCTCATGAATGAATTTATGCTGCACTACTTTGAATGTTCGGGGAAATCAAACGCATTTCACTCGCAGTACTCGAGCTGACTTACCTTTGTTTGACATATTGACAACGTGGAGTCTAATAATTGCCAAATCTTGTACCCGATCCTTGGTGGATGTGCGCCTCCAGAGATTTATAATGGCAAAATTGGTTCGCCGTGTACGCGCTGACTCCACAGACAAGGAACGAGAATAGATCAGGCTAAGCTAAGTCAATAGCGGTTCAGGGTTTCTACTCCACAGCTGTGTTTCATACGGGTCCACACTTCCAATGCAATCTTCCTCCATAACGTCCTTTTTCTTTTGAGCTGCTTTGAAGTATGGTTCATAGCAATCTTCCTTCCAACACAGTGTGTTTGTTTTGATTCGCTACCTGCTAAAACGGTGGCGTGCTCCCACAATGCATTGCGGCGTGACCTGGGCCAGCTTCACCTGGGCCAGCTTCACCTGTTCTTGCTCGTCTTCATCACTTCACTGCTGCAGAGTTCACAGCTCTAAAACCTCACAGTCAGAGGCCAATTCTCAGAGTCTTTAAAGTGCATCCCACCTCCTCCTGCTCCTCCTAGCCCCCATCCTGTGAGGTATCAGGTTGTGCTGCACCCTCCTTCCTCCTCATCCTCAGTCCTGTGGTCTGCTACGATGCTGACGTGGTCGCAGTGCTCAGAGGGCAGCGAGACTGGGTAGATGAAGGGGTTGAAAGGCAGCAGAGACGGAGGGGGCAGGACACACACCTCTTCAAAGTGTGGCGGCAGCACGACTTCTGGGCACAGGAACTTGGAGATTTGTTTCCAGTAGACCACCAGAGTCACCACCAGAGCCGCCACCATGGCCATGACCACAAACGCCACCACGGCCGCCACCCACAGAGTTGCATCCACTGTAAGAAAACCACACAGCAGCAGGTGAGCCCATCAGCGACACCTTGAGCGATTGTGACGGCTGTCTGACGGCGTTGCCTACCGTTACCGGTGCGCTCACAGACGACGTCGCTGTACTCGCCCGGTCTGGGGTTCCTGTTATAGATGATCTGGACTTGGACGCAGTATTCGCTCAGCGGGTCCAGGTCACTAAGAACCGCTCGGTCCTGCCTCGTTTCAAGGATCTTTTTTACCTGTAGGAGGCAGCAGAGAGGAGGTCAGAGGTCTTCAGTATCTGTTTTTATTCTTTGACCCAATACAGATCAAAAGTTTAAAACCAGTTTAAAATTAGCAAAAATCGTATTTTGCATGCTGGAGCTTAACAAGGTTCCAAGTAGAGCTTCAACATGCAACAAGAAGAAATGTGACACAAAACAACGCTTAAACTGAAACAGGCTGTTTTACAGCTCATCAAAAGTTTAGGACCACACCTCAAAAAAGGTAAACCCAAATATGAAGTCAGTAATGAGGAGCTCCACTCTTATTGTTGATCACTTCAAAGACTCGTTGCGGCATGCTTTATGCCAGCGTTTCCATGAGGTGAGTGGGAACATTTCTCCAAGTGGTGAAGACGGCCGCATGAAGGACATCTACTGTCTGAAGCTGTTCTCCATTTCTGTAAACTTCCCTTGCCATCCATCCCCAAAGGTTTTCAGTTGGATTTAGATCAGGGAAACACGCAGAATGGTCCAGAAGAGTGATGTTTTTCTCCTGGAAGAAGTCCTTTGTCCTGCATTGTGTACTGTAACGTTATCCTACTGAAAAACCCAGTGGTTACCACACAGACGAGGGCTCTCAGCAATGAGGGATGTTCTCTGCAACATTTGCACACAGCCATCGGCTCCTGAAGCTCCGTTGTTCCACTAAAGCAGGGGTGTCCAAACTTTTTTCACTGAGGGCCACATACATAAAAAATATAGGAGAGGCGGGGCCACTTACTAGAAATTAGGAATATAACCTTAACTTTAGTGTATTAAAGTTAGAAAAATCACTTAGAAGTGGTCGAATATGTTATATTGTTGAATATAATTAAAGACAAAACTGCCTTCATCACAGCTTCACACAATAAATGGATTAAATAAATGGATAAATGGATCTTTATTGATTTATTCAGAAAAAGCTTTGGTAGCTCGTTCTCACAACAGCCTCGGATTTATTCTTAGAAGATTTACAGCACAGAGAAAAAACAATAAAGATGTGACGGGTACATTTCAAGCTTGTTATTTAAGTTATTGGGCTCGATCCCAATAACTTAAATAACAAGCTAACAGATGTGTTGCTGATCAGTTGCTCTGTGTGTTAACAAGAAAAACGCACATAAAGTGGTGCGCAAAAGCAGGGTAGTGACAGAAAGATGCGCATTATTGATATTTGAAGCATGTGCACCTAACACACGGGTACTGTGGGATATATTTTTAAAGCGCTCGTGCTCTCGTCCACTCCCCGCAAAAAAAATTTGATTAGCAGCTGTGCGGCGTCTGTGGCGTCGGTGCTCTCATCGCCTGCGATGGAGTCAAAATCAAAAGCACAGCTTTATCAGACAGTTGCAGTTTAATGTTGGCTGACAAGTCTTCAGTGCGTCGCACGACTGGATTTCTGGACACGCTGACGTTGCTGAAGTTCTGCACTTTTTCCACATTATTTCGGTGACTTTAACGAGGCCGTGTTTTATGAGGTCTCCATCTGAAAAAGGCTCGCCATGTCTCGCGATGAGTTGGGCGACCTCATAGCTGGCTCTCGCAGCCTTTTCCTGGACCTGTTGAGCACAAAATAAATACTGTTGCTGACCCTGCAGGAGAGCTAATGTCTGCTCTGGCTCAGCACCAGATGCACAGGCCTGATGTTTGGTTTCATAATGAGGTCGTACATTATCCTTTCATAACTGCCACAGTTTCAGTGCAGATCAAACAGACACACTTCTCCTTGAATTCTTTGAAGAATTCACTCTCCCACCATGTCTGAAATTTTCTGCACTCACTTTTCTACTTTTCGCTTCTTTGGTTCTGCCATGTTTAGTAACTTGGGGTAAATTTCTTCTGTGATTGTCCTTTTTGGTGGAGCAACTGCCTTGATCAACAGCAGCTCCCCCTGGTGTTAAAAATAAGAAGTGCAATACACTCAGGCAAAAGTTGAAGTGCAGCCATATTTTATTCTATTTATAAAATTACTTGCGGGCCAATTAAAAATGGATCGCGGGCCACAGTTGGCCTGCGGGCCAGAGTTTGGACACCCCTGCACTAAAGGAAAAAGACCCCAGAGCATTATGGTGCCCCCTCCACTGTGGGGCGTAGAAAACATCTCAGGTGGGATCTACTTGTCATGGCAGTAATGTTGGAAACCATCAAGGTTACATTTGTTCTCATCAGAGAATAAAACTTTCTTCCACTTTTCAACGTCCCATGTTTGGTCCAAACGGTCAGTTCTGTTGTGTCCAAGGCAACGAGGCCTTTGAAGACGTGTTTTGTTTTTGAAGCCCTTCAGTCTCAGATGCCGTCTGGTGGTTATGGGGCTGCAGTCGCCACCAGTAACGGCCTTAATTTGGGTCGAGGATCGTCCAGTGTGTTGATGGACAGCCAAGTGGATCCTGCAGCTCAGTGCTGGAGACGTTTCTTTGGGTCTTCCACTTGACTTTTTTGTTCCATAACCCTCAGGATCATTTAAGAATTTATTTAAGATTTAAGAAATTCCAAGTGACTGTCTTACTGCGTCCCACCTCAGCAGCGATGGCGTGCTGCGAGAGACTCTGCCTTTCAACAACCCGACCACGTTCAACAAGGGAAAGTCTTTTTGCCTTTGCCATCAGAACATCATGGCAGTGACCACCTGACAGAAAATGAAATGAATCCACATTTTTGCACAGATTTGGCTTTTTAAAGGCATGTGGTCCTAAACTGGTGTAAAACAGCCTGTTTCAGTTCAAGTGTTGTTTTGTGTCACATTTCTTCTTGTTGCATGCTGAAGCTCTACTTGGAACCTTGTTAAGATACCCCTCACACTTTAAGTGCGTAGCTCTAACTACGGTGGCTGCTGTAGGACAAACATGCTTCTATGAGAGATCAAACACATGAAATTTGGACTGTACATCATAACGGTTGTGGCCGTATTCCTGCTACTGTTTGGACCGCGTCCACCTCCAAGCCTGTGGAAGGCTGTCAGTGCTGTTTCCCTCAGCTGTCACTGGTGGGCGAGACGCCGCCACCTTTATTTAATCTGAAAGAGGCTGTGAAGCTCTGTGACAGGAGGCCAGTGCAAGTCAGGGAAGCTCAGCCATGAGTTGTTGAGCTTATGCTTAAGTGTCCTTAGCAATGCTGTTTCTGCTGCTTTTAGCTGGTTTAATGAAACTTTATTGTGCATCTAACATTGTTGCACTCAGACGCTTTGTGAACAAACTCTCGTGTGATATGAGAACGTAATCAAACTGTTTATCAGAGGGAAAGTGTGATTTTAGGACACTGGAGCCTGATATTAGCTGGCATAATGTTAGCTTCTAATAATATTAGAAGCTAAAACTACAAACCGGCGTTCCCACCTCTTCCTTCGAGCTGCTCTTCCAGTAGGTGATGTGATAGGTGGCCGAGGTGTACGCCTCCCTCAGTTCTGAATGCTTGAACACTGGGTCTTTAATGCTGACTTCCAAAGATGTCCCAGTGACATGAAGAGTCACATCAGGTGGACCGATGAAGGCTGAGGGGGACAGATGTGGAGAGACGTTTTTATTGGACAAAATCAAAGCTGCAGCTTCTCTAACAGTCCACTCCATGTGCTACAGCTCTGTCATGCCAGTGTGCTTGGAGCTGGGGAGGTTCCCACCATGACGGCAGACGGTTTCACTGAGGACACAGACAGAAACACAGAAACCAGGATTTCACTCTGACTGGACTGAAGTCAGCGACGGCGAGAGCTCTGAGACGCTGAAAAGCTCGCTCAGGGTTTCATTTCTGATCGTCTTCAGCTCAGCGAGGCTCTTCAGACGTCCCCTGCTGAAGCAGTCATTGCATAACTGCAGACTCCCCACACAGCTGCTGCCACAGTCTGAACCGGAGCTGAAGGGGACCATCCTGATCTCAGGAAGCTTCTCTGAGAGCCACCAAATGGTCTCATTCACCAATCCTCAACATGCCGTCAGGCGTACGTTGTATTGGTCTACCTGCAGAGAGCTCTGCTGCACGGTTTGCATATTTGCAGATGTGAGGAAGAACAAACTGACGGCTCAGGTAAGCAAATACCTGCAGTAATGATTCAGACACAGGCGGTTCAGATAACAGGTGAGCTCAGGTCCCAGGATGTGTAATGAACACTACTGATGGTGAGATGAAGCCTTGTGATGAACTGAAGCTTCCATCCAACTGGTCGACTCATGGTTCGAAGCATTGCGATGATTCATTTGCTCTACTGCGCCATCAAGTGGACAATTCAAGTGAAACAGGCTCTGTGATTATAATGATGTGATGAGTAAACCTCTAAATGGAATAAATAAATTGTTTTCATGGTTATTTATCCCGAATATTGTCTCAGGATGTCTGATACAAAAGAGAAAGTGGAAACTATCAGGACAGAGTTTTGGTATGATTGTGTAACTGTGTAATCATGCTTATGTGCATCTGGACAATGACACAAACTAGTGTGTGGCGCTTCACTTTTTAATGAACTGAAAGACAGAAATCAGATTATAGGATCTGTAGTGTTGTTTACTTATATTATGGTGCTTATCATGATATTTATTACTGTGTGCATACTTTATCAGGAGAGATGAGATTTAAAAAAATCTCTTGCTGGTTCCATCGAAGAAGAAATGCTCAAGTAGCTATGTAGCACGTACGTAATCCAATTCCACATCAGCTGTGTTTTGCTGCCCATTTTATTTCGAATCTGGCGCAAACCGGCGAGCCAGTTCCTGAATCAGTCACGTGGTACGGACTGCCCGCGAGGCCTCGAACGTCACTGCATACGTAATCAAAGCAAGCCTCGATACGCGCTTACCAAAACTCCCCCGACATTACCGACACGCAGGACACATCACTAGTGAACACCTGCACAGACTTTCTGTGACTGCTTGGCTGATTCTGGTTCATTTACTGCAGCGATGAGAGCCTCACACATGGATGCACGATTCACAGTGACATATTTGAAGCTGGAGATCGTTATCTCTGCTGAGCGCAGCTCTCGGCTGTTGCACCGATACAGTGCGAAGGCTGTGAGCTCATACGCTGCTGCAGCATGTGCACGTCACACTTCCTGGAAAGCCAAGTACTTACCCTCCTCATAGGGGCAGAACGTCTTCTGCGCCCACTCCGAGTGCCGCCCGTCCACGGTGGCTCGCACCCGGAGCATGAAGTTGCCGATGAATAACAGCTTGAACCGTGTGAGGTCACATGACCGGTGTGACGTCTGGTTGCACGCTGTGATCCAGTTTGGAGTCTTCCTCTTCAGCTGGTGCTTCCTGAGGAGACATGAACATGAGAACACATTAAACCCTTCTGCTCTTTCTTTGTGTTCTGTCTTCGCTCCTCCCCGAATACTCGGCGGGTCTGGAGGGAGAGCTTTCATTCAAATAAAGTCAAATTACAACAGCAACACAGCAGCCGTGTTTCAGTAAACGTGTCTGTTTCATAGGTCGGGGCTGGGAGGTTAACGCCTGTGGAAGCAGGATGATGGGGACGAGGGAGGAAGACTGCGAAGAGGAAGGCTGCTCCACGGCTCTCTGAGGCATGGAGCACACTCTGACTTACACTTAAACTCGTATTAAAATACCAGCGAGGAGTTAAAAGGTCTTTATCTGATCACATGATGGCAGGCCAGGTGGTTAATAAACGTCTCAAATGACTTCCAGTGAAACCAGAGAGGAGAAACACGAGCCGGGACACGAGCTGTAATAATAATAATACATTTTATTTAAAAGCGCCTTTCAAGACACACAAGAACACTTAAGAATACAATAAAATGACAAAATGAAGAGTGACTACCCCATAGACAAAAAGAGAAGAAGAAACAAAACACAAAGACAAAAACAGAAGGGAAGACTGACAGCGCACTTTGTTAGTGTAAGCAGCACAGTAGAAAGGTATGGAAAAGAAACAAGCAAAAACAAACAAATAAAAATAGTAGCAAACACACCCCAGAAAAAAAGAGAGGAAGAAAAAAGGAGAAAACGTCAGTCCCCCAAATATTGTTCGTTTAATATGTTGCATTACTAAATTTGGCTCAATGCTTACATATATGTGTAAAAAGCAAATGTACGAGCTGTGATAACTGTGTCTGATAGAATGAAGAGTAGACTGATATATGAAATATTCCTTTATTGGGTGAGAAAATCAGACCATGTCATAACTGCTGTAAGTCACACAGAATAGATATCAGAGCCTTAAACAGGCTGACGTCTGCTAAATGGGTCAAACTGGGCAGAAAGTCTACAAACACATAACATCCTTATAGAATATGATGTAACACTATAGATCAACTTAGCTCAGAATATATAAAGCATATAAACAGTTACAGCAATATGATGCAACAAACACAGCAGCTACTGATCCAAAATACTCAAAGCTTCATAGAACTGAAACCAACATTTATTTTAGCTCCATTCTGCTGCTGATACAGACTTTAGGTTTCTGAACATTAAACTTGTTGCTGCCTTTCATAGTGTGTAACTTGAAGGCCCTGAGTACTCTGAGTACTTTCTCCCACACTGGAAACACTGGGATGATCACATTATTTGAACATTACCTAATAAGACTGATTCAGACAGACAGTTATGTTAAACTTTCCTAGCAGTCCTTCACAAACAGGGAACAGTCTGTCTATTCTCTCCATCTGTCAGCTGCTGCTGGCTCTTCCTCCTCCTCTTCCTCACACACTGCTGAGTTTGTCCTGGTGGATCATCAGGGGTGCAAAGCCTCACAGATGATGTGCAGCAGTGGGTCCCTCAGTCTGTCCTCACTCTGGACACTTGCAGTCGTCACACATGGACATCAAATGTGTGATAAGCTGCAGGATTCAAACACAAGTGTAACTTATAAACACATGTTCATACTTTTATTCCACAATCAGAGAGAAAGAAACAGAGAGAGAGTGCAGGACAGACAGACAGGTGACAGTCTCAGGTGTACACACTGCTACAAACAGGAGGATTTAGTGTTTGTGTTATTACGAGTGTAAACAAGAAGAGTTCCAGATGGTGCAGTGGACACATGTGTGACTGCTGTGATTAAAGCATCTTTCTTTCAGCTTAACGAGTGAACCGTCAGCTCGTTCAAACACACGTTAAAGTGCGTTTGGCTCGACACCACCGAACAGAGGCAGCAATATAACACAGCTAACATTAACAGTGCAGTGAATCCTGCTTGTGCCGTGATGTTCAGGACTGCAAACCGAGCAGCATCACTGACTTTCAGCTTGTTGTGTTTGTGGATATATGACTGACTTTAATTATCCACAGAATCATCAGATTCTCTGTAAGATTAAGGTCGACTATTGAACGGCGTATAAAGTAAAGGCTTTAAAACCAAGTTAGTACAAACATTGCTAATGTCACATAACTTTGCCGACATGTGGCCAACAGGAATGTTTAATGTTCTTCGTTATTAAACAACATAAATAAGTGACGTCATATTCAGTACTTACTTTTAAAAGTTTACTCTTCGGCCGCTCCGCTTCAGCCGTCTGCCACTTTTTTCCGAAAAAAATATCCACACCCACCACCACGCTATGAATTGTGGGATAGATTGGGTCACGAAGGCTACACTGGACCCAGCCTTCAAATCTGGGGAAATGAAGGGCGCATTTGTCAACCGCATTTTGAGGACTCTTCGAATTGGGACACCCTTCGTCGCGTCGCTGTGACACAATCGGTCTACAAATGCCCACTCCGAAGCATGCGGTCCCTGAATTGGACACAGCTAAAGTGTCATAAGAAAGTGCGTTGCTAGGAGTGATTGGAGGCAGATTTCATTTCAAAAGACTACCAAGCAGAAGCCTTGATAAAAGCGTGGTTTTGTACAAACTGTGCAAAAAGGAGTTTGGATACCACCGAAGCACTTCCACCTTATGGTACCATCTAAATGCAAAACCTGTTGCAGCGGGCACAGAAACTGTGGGAGCTGTTAGCGCTACCAGTCGAGTACCAACAAAAGGTGTCGGCAGCCCAAACTTGATGAGATGACTGGCTTCAGGACCAAAACTAGTAAGTCAACATTGGACAAACTTACACAATGGATTGCTCTGGGCTGTAGACCACTATCAGTGGGAGAAGATAGGGGGTTAGAACATGTGTTACAGTTAGCGTCAGGTGGTCCAACTTTCCAACTGCCTGAAAGACTATTTCAAGTAAAATTCAACAGCTTTATGACACTGAAAAGCAAGATTACAGACAGCACCTGCTAATATGGAGGAACTACACCAGGAGCAAACAAGTCTGGGGCAACAGAAAGAGCCACTCACAGAGGATGTTTCCACACGGTGGAGTTCAACACTGGATGTGGTTTCTCTCTACTAAAGAATCAAGAGGCTGTTTTTGCTGCTGTAGACAAACAAAAGCACGAGCTGGTCATTTTAACTCCATCAGAGCTGGTAAACCTCCAAAAGCTGGCAGCTGTACTTGAGCCATGCAGGTAAAGAAAACTATTCAACTTATTGTTACTGTTTCTTCAAAAAGGTCTATAGTTGACAGTTACTGTGGAGATGAATAATGCCCGCTGCAGTGCTGGTCCAGTCGAGCAGGGACCCACCCACAGCTGTCTGTTCAAAGCGTTTGTTGTCATGTGTGCAAAGAAAAGCATTTTCTTTCTCTGCTGTCCACACACAGATGCTGGTTAATGTGTACAAATAGATAAAATACAAATAGCATGGATAAATGAATGGAGACAAAACAATTGAAGTATTAAAAGAGCTATGACCTTAATATGCTGGTTGATATGTGAGATGACCTGATGTGCAAAAATTATTATTACTGCTAAAATAGGTCAGCTGTTCAGGAGTCTGATAGCAGTGGAGAAGGAGTTGTTGAGTCGAGATGTTCTGGATTTCACACTTGTGAACTTTCGTCTCGAGGGCAGAAGAGTGAACAGTCTGGGGGTGTGTGGGGTCTTTGAGGATGGAGGCAGCTCTGGACTCTGCGATGGTAGATGCTTATGGTAAATAACACACCATTGGCAAAAAACAGTGAAAGGATCCCAGACGACAAGTTTTTAGTTCAACATACAAGTGACGACCTTTGACCTTCATCGGGTTTTATTTAATTGTGTCAGAGAAAACATCATGTTCTCTTCATGCAGCTGAGTACAGTCAGTGTTTAACTTTATCAATAAACAGCTGCAGCTTTCACTGACAGCACATGTGGTGCTTTAACCTTGTTGTCATTAGTTTTGCAGTTAACATGTGAACATGATGGATGATCTGTCTGCTGTCACTGGGTGGTGCTGAGGTCTGAATCTGAGGCAGCTCCTGTAATCACAAAGAGAACAGAACCGACAAACTGAAATATAAATTTATCCTCAAATCTGAAATAAGCTGATCCTCTCTGTCCTCACACACTCAGGATCTGAAGCTCTTCTCTTACATTTATTCAGTTCTACAGTTCTGCTGACAGAGAGCTGTTTATTAAAATAAGCCTTATATACTAACAGATTTTCCAATATAATGTTCACCTTTGAGTTGTCGGTGCTGTATAAATGGACATCTGCAAAGATGAGATGATGGAGCAGGTTTGAGTCCTGGTTCAGTCTGCTGCTGCATCCTGGTCACAACACACGGAGGTGTTATCAGCAGTGTGTGACCTGCTGCCTGAGAACTGAGAAACAAACATTAATGCTTTCAATTATTTCTCCTCAAGGATTTAAGCTGTACAGAATACTGCACGTGACTGTGAACATACCTCACTAACAATAATTCAGACTGTTTTTTTAACCTGAATATTTTAAACAAAAGTCATAAGTGGAAAAATTAAACATACACTTTAACTTAAGCTGTCAAGTGGCCGTAGTTGGTATCAGCACATAAATATTGGGCTTTGGTACAGTTATATGATTAATTAATAATTAATGGGGGTTACTGAAGTGCAAGCTTTTTTTTATAAGTTGGTCTTTCTGTCCTTACAGATGTGACAGGAGACAGAAAACATGCTGCTGTTTGCACATATTTAATAATCAGCTCTGCACAGGAGCTGAAGCAGAGTCCTGTTGCTCTTACAGTCTAAAAGTACAGTAACGGTAGTTAGTTAGTAACTGAGCGGCCCGGGGCGTTTCTCTTCATTTCCTTAGTCAGGGTAAATTCATTCACCTGCTCGGATTAGCTAAACGCACTTTACAAAACGAGTTTCTGCTAGCTAGCTAGCTAAGGACGTTAGTTACGGATTAGCTTACAAACACATTTAACTTACCTCTGTTCTGTCGGGTAGTCCAGTTTACTGAAGAACACTTCAGGCTGTCTGTTTGAAACAGTCGGGACGCTGGAGCTCCTCTCGGCATCCACGCTCTATCTACTACTCCCAAACAGAGAGACGCAAGTTTATCCGTGACTGCGAGTCAGAAGTGTTGTGATGATTTTTAACAGCATTATAAGTTTAATTAGAATCAAACTTAATAGAAAGGAGACCAACTGAACACAAATCAGTGCGATGAGAACTACTGATAATGTAAGAAAGAATTTTTGGAAAAAATTATCTGAGGAGAACTGTTTTATATCAGCCTGACCCCAGTCCCATCCGCTAACATGGGTCACCATGGCAACGGCGGGATAAGGAGCAGAGCCTCCATTTGGAGGAAGGCTACGTTTAATGTTAAGAGCAGCAGAGGAGCCATCGCTCACACAGCTCGGTTTTATTTACAGAAACAGGAGTTTCACATCTTTAGCGATTCAGCCGCCAGGAGGAAAAGAAGCTGAACTTCAGACTCCGCTGCAGGTTTGAAATGTTCACGTTCACGGCGTCGTCGTAACGACAGATGTTATGAAAGGCGACTCCATCAGCTGTTAGCGGGGTTACCACAGCGGCCCGTCGCCATGGTGAATCCCGGTGCCACAGCTCCATTGATGATGTCATTCTTTACTCAGGGCTGGTTTCCCTCTCAGCAGCGCTCTGTGTTACCATGGTAACTGACTTTAAAGCTGGCTCACAGTTAGTTTCTCTCAGCTCAAACCTGTTTGAACCTGAATCAAGAAAACATGTTTCAGGTGGACCACGCCCCCTGTGTCCACCGTCTGACAGGTAAATAAGCCCCGCCCTCGTGATTCTCAGACTTACGGCACATATTGCGTGGTGAAGGTGACGGCGTGGGTCCCTGCAGCGCCCGGCGGCCAGTCCCAGCTCAGCGTGTAGTTGGTGTTCAAGGTCTTCGTGATGACGTTCTGAGGAGGCGGCACCTCGGATCCATCGGCTCCACCTGCAGGACA